GGGGGGGGGGGGGGGGGGGGGAAGAGAGCCGAATATCGAGCGTCGAATATTAGGCTTAGGAATCGAAACTTTAGGAATTATCACTTTATGGATAAAAATTTCACGATAATTTTTCGGGATTGATTCGTACCCGCGTTTTTAGAAAAATTCTTTTTCATCTAAGGGGGAAGAGGGGGCCGAATATTGAATGTCGAATATGGTTTAGGAATTGAAACCATTATGACTTTATGGATGAAAATTTCACGACAACTTTTCGGGATTGATCCGTGCCCGCGTACAAGATTTTTAGAAAAATTATTTTTTATTTAAGGGTGAAAGAGGGGTCGAATATCGAGCGTCGAATACAACTTAGGAATCGAAACCATTATCACTTTATGGATGAAAGTTTCTCGGCAACTTTTCGGGATTGATCCATGGGTCCATCGGTCTCGTCCGAAAGGCGAAATATATTTCTGGCCGTTTAATTGAACGTACCGTCAGCCTCCAATGCAAATTTCGTCCAAGTTAGACGAGAAAGTAATGAAGTCCCAAATTATATGCGGAACAACGTGAAAGTTGGGCTAACTGGAATTAGGCGAGCGCTTCTCTTTTACTCGTCGAACGGGACGAGTTCGTCTGTTCTTCTCCCTCTCGTTGAACGTTCGTTGTGCACGCGTTGGAACGTTCGGACAAACGAACGAACCTTTTCCTTCTCCTTTCACTCCCCTTCTTCGTTGAAAATTAATTATTCAATTCGATATGCAAAAAAGAAGAAAAATTCCTACTCCTATATATATAATTCCATCCTCGTTCGGCGAGGAACACGTACTAGACTGAAATTCTATCGACGAAACAAAACGTTTCTATACATCGAATGTTTATATACACCGCGATTACGAGTCGTCGATTAATGTTTCGTTTCGTTCCGTTCGTGTTTATAAACGATTTACGATATCTTTTCTCTCCGAATGAGAAATAACAAACGAACGAACGAATTCGTTTATATTCAGGGATACAAAAGAAACGAGCGTCGAAAAAAAAAGAAATATCGACGAGATTTCTCGTTTCGAATAAAAAGAAGAGGAAAGAAAAAAAGAAAAAAGATTTTGCTCGGTACTCCGATGGGATGTAATAATACACGTGGACCGTGTGGAAAAACGCGATACAGATGGAATGTGATATTCGATGGGAATGTCTGGGAAGACGGTAGAGAGAAGAAAAATATAAAATACGCCCCTACGTCAATATTGATTTATTAGGATGGAGGCAGAATCTTTGGGAACCTCAACTTTCCTCGCCAATCACCAAACGTCCCTTGAATACCGTCAAACAGTTGATGATAAATGACCGAATTGATATCGGGATGATCGTCCTGTTTGAAAAATTTCGAGAATAATGTCTCGCGATACTCGAGCGAAACGATCGATAATCCGAGGCGATACATCGTCTTAAAGGAAAAAAAGAAAAAAAGGAAAAAAGAAAGAATGGAAAAATAAATAGTTACAAATAATTTGTAACGATTTATCGAAGGATTGGATACATCGTTTGGAAAGAAGAGAGAAAAAGAGAGAGAGGGGGGAGGGAAAAAGGAATGATCGGTTGAAAAACGAAATCGTTAAAAGAGGAACGAAAGAAAGATCGAATTTAACCTGGGAAATACCTCGATGTCCACGTTTTAACGTTTCCTTAGATTGTGCACCGTGGTTTATCCCGAGCGACTGGGTCGTAAACTCACACATTGACTCGCCACATCTCCACCGGAGATGGAAGAAATCGAAGGGCGCCAT